CCAATAGAGAGTGTACCAAAGAGTAGAGAAGCGAGACTGCCGTGAGGAGAGTACTCGAGCACAAAATGCAAACCGCGATCGCTGCTGAAACCGCGAAGCCTAGCTGCGTTTGGGTGGTTTACGTGTGCGATTATCCCTAACTCCGACAAGAAATCGCTGACTCGTTCTTCTTCTTCCTTGCCGTGTCTCGTCAGCTTCTTGATCGCCACTGTCTCTCCGTCAGGTAAAACCCCTTTGTACACCTCCGCATGTCCTCCTTTCCCGATCATATTATCTAACAACAACAAAAAAAAAAATCAAGACCCAGAAATCAGAAAACAAAACACCGTTCCTGGGTGATGTATTCAGGTCAAATCAGGGGGTATTTCGTCTTTTCAAAGTTTCCAGCTTTACCGGGATTAAAGTTGTCGGTGGCGGCGACGAGCTCTTCGTATGTGAAATTCCGCCACGAGGGTTTAGCGACGAGGATTTGATCGCAGTCGAATTCGTTTCCCGGCGACGGAGATAGCTTGGGCTGTTTCCGCCGCATGTTTTTGCGGGTGAGCTCGTAGCTCGCGAGCAGAGGAATGACTGAGAATCTCCTCATGGATTTCTTCTTGATGGAGTCGATCATCTTGTTCCATTGACGACCGTGGTGGTGAAAAGACGAAACGTTTGTAGGAGTCGTCGATAATGGCGACGATGATTTATCCGGGGAGCATGAGCTGCAACTGCTGCTGCTGCTGCTGTTATCGGAATCTGAAGCCATTACTGGAATTTCAAGCACGCATCTTGGCGATGGATCCTCGATACCTAAGTCACTGTTCTCCCGCTCTGTCTTTTCATTGCTTCCTTTGATCTTCTTCTCCATTTCTGCAATGAAACAGAGGAAGATTTTGTTTGTTGCTAATTCCTCGGTGCACATAACGTCTTTGCGTAAATTACTCTCAGTGGAGAGAAGAGGGAAATATAACAGAAACTAGAAACAAGAAAAAGAAAAATCTAATTTGGAGACAAACCCAGAAAAGGAAAATATATAAGAAAAAGAGAAAAACATGCTCGGAAAATTAACAATAAAAAAAATCGAACTTAAGACTTACCTTCAACGGCCATAGCTTCGAGAAAATTTCGTCCTCTGGGATTCCTTGTGTGAAGCTTTGAAAAAAGAAAAAAAAAACTTCAGAGCTTCGTGGAATTTTCTCCCAGAAAACAAGAACACCAAAGAGGAAACATCTCCGATAGGAGAAGGAAAAAGCACAGATCCGGAGAGAATCCGGAGAAATTGGAGGGCAGAGGTTTGCGTTTTTTTTTTTTTATGTTTTCAAAAGGAATTTCAAAAGTCGTTTGTATCGTTAAAGCACTATTATCTTTGGAAATGGTTATTCTTGGAAGACGTAGAAAGCAAAAAAAGTTGCAGAAGAAGAAAAACCAGATTTTGATGACTGGTAATAGATTGGAATCTCGGCTATATTTATACAACTCCACCATGCAAGTCAAGTTCTGTTTAACTTTAAAAATAAAAACTATATTTTTAATTTTAAGTTGAATTTAACTTAACAAAAGAGAAATTAATATTGCCCCCAAAAAAACAAAAATAATAATAATGTAGAAGAAGAAAATAGGGTACGGTGCCGTAACTAACGCTTTCCAACGAACGGACACGACGACGGTTGACATATCTGGAGCTGGTCAATGGCATTTCCGTAAATTATAGTAAATGAGAAGACAAGACATCCTCTTTGCTTTAAAAGATGGGTAGTGAGCTTACTTTTATTTATTCGAATTACAATCTCACTAAATTTGCCATTTAATACTCGCCATGTGAATTACTGACATCTTGTTTTTTTTTTGGGTCTGGTGAAGCCATTTTTTTTCCAATAATGTAACCTCTAAAAACCACACAGACAATTTTACGAAATGCCGTCAAATGTGAGTTTTGCGAGGTAAGAAAATGCTATCTTGTTTTCTGAAATTATCGTGGCGCCACCATAGAGACAAATGGAACATATGGCAAAGAAGCTTAACCACCTAGACCAATCCATCGTTATATTTATTTTTTATATATGGAGTAATAAACTCGTAAATAAACTTTAATCGCTTTTGATTTTTAACTAAGCAAGATAGACGGCATTTATGAGGGTGTTTTGGTTAACGGACACGACAGTCACGAGTCATCATGAAGCTTAAAAGAAAAACGTTTATCCGAACCACATCAAGTTTGGACCCACCACGTCAAGCTCTCCACAATTAATAACTTAAGTCAATTAGGTAAATAAAAATAAAAACTAGTTTTTGAATTTTTTTCATTTGTCGGCAATCAGTTTTTGATTTAGGTTACGTGATACGATCATGATTATAAATTCGAAAGAATGACGAAAACTATAAACATAGTTATGTCAATTTTCATACGGGCATAACGTGGATTTAGTAAAGTTGAGCCGTTAACTAACAAGACTGCTAAATTTGAACAACTTAATACGTTTCCTGTGACAAACCAAGCAAACCTTATTATATGAACAACTTAATACTCTCTTACTTGTTACTTTTTCTTCTACAAAAGGTTTGCATTTACGTGTAAATTATTTGTTGTGATATTATCTAGATAAGCAAATAGAAAAATAACAAGTTAAGTGAAGTTGTTGCTGGAAAATGATTCTTTGAAGTCTTTGGTGAAATGCGAATTCTTAACGTGATACTACATTTTAAATGAAGTTGATAAAGTTATTAGTTAATTCGGTAATTTCAATGAGAAAGGTAATATTGACAAGAATTTTCCTTTCTTGCATAGTGGGTGAACTAAACCCCTTAACTAATTTGACTCTTCAAATATAATCATCCCTCTCTCTTAATTGGGCCCCAAAGTCTAAATCAAAATGGCCACCAAACTCACCAATGTCAAGTTCTGTCGGAGAAGTCAGTCTAACCGATTTTCGCTCTCACTTAAAACAGTCATTAACACACAGTTACACTCTTCTATTTCAATCCGAGATATACTAGGTTTTAGTTTTTTTTTTTCAAGAACTAATCCATAGTAATCAAATCAAAGTGAAACCAACAAGCGACATGCGTCACATGCTCTAACTGTATATTGTTCTAAACTAGGAAAGTGATACAGCTTATGTATGTTCTGTATTGTTTCGTAAAAAAAAATGTATGTTCTGAATTGATTGTTAAACTAATAGGTAATCACTTAATCCAACAACGCATTAGAAAATAGTCACATTTTCTAATTGTATACTATTATTTTAACATAGGAAAGTGATACGGCTTATGTATGTTCTGAATTGATTGTTAAACTAAGATGTAATCACTTAATCCAACAACGCATTAGAGATAAGTAATGCAAACATGTCATATATAAAAAATCTAACCAAACCGCAGAGATAGTGGATGTAGCATGAAGTGTTTATGTCTACATGGAAAACAGTTATATTCATTAATGGAAAAGACGAAAATTAATATTTTATGTCCAATTTATCGGCGGATATTGTTCGTTCTCACCTGATGATATCATGCATGATTCCGCGGAGGAATAGTTTCTCTTTTAATTTAGTATTTTAGTAGTTTTCCGTAATGGACTAAACAGCTAGCGCCTGTAGCTCAGTGGATAGAGCGTCTGTTTCCTAAGCAGAAGGCCGAAGGTTCGACCCCTTCCTGGCGCGCTCTTCTTTTTTCTTTCTGTTTAAATTTCGTTAAAATGGAAATGTACAGTATTATACTTTTTCGTTGTTTTGATTCGACGGGCCAAGGCGTAAGTAAAGCTCATTTACTAGAAGTAAACAAGACAGGCCTTTTCTTTTATCAAAAAATCAAAGACCGAATTAGACTGACGATGGCGCTTCTCGGCGACGACGGTCGAGGCTTCGATCTAGCGAGGAGACTGGAGGTTTCCGGCGTGTGGCGGACATGGCTCGGCGATTCTACTTACTTGTCCTTCCACCATTATCTTTCCTCTCCTTCTTCCTGGGAATCCTTTATGCGCGTTGATGATTCCAAGTCTAGGGCTCAGATTCAACTCCAGCTCCGCGTTCGCGCCCTTCTATTTGACAAGGCAACCGTCTCCCTCTTCCTCCGATCCAACACAATCCCCGCTTCACCATCTTCCGATGCTTCTTCCGTCGCGGTCTCGAAGCTCAATCCTAATTGTATGTGGGCTTTTTTCTTTTTCTGGAGCTTTTTTCACGGGCAATTTTCGGGTGTCGAATTGAAAGGTTTGGTTGGATTTCAGATTTACAGCTGCACGGAGATGATGTGTACTACACTTTGGAGAACGCTTCTCTCGAAGGTGGGTTTCAGCGAGACGGCGCGATTCGCCACAATCCGAGTTTACCCAAGGTGAGTCAAGGAGCTCTTTTTTTTATTAAAAATGTCTACAATTTAAATCTTGTTTCGAAAGGATTCACCTTCTTCTGGGGTATTGGCAAACATTGAATCCGAATCACTAAATGGCTAATTTTGGGTTTTTTTTTTTTTGTAGTGAGTGGTAGCATTTTTTTTTTGTAGGTTGGTTTATCTTTCAGTACATCTGTTAATTTCTTTTGTGATGATTTTGTAGAGCCTATCCAAGCCAAGTTTTGCCTCTGGGGCGAGAGGTAGTGAGTCTGATTTCAGTAATCTTTCGCAAAGGTCTAGGTTTGAGGAGTTACCCGACACTTGGTACACTCAGTTTATCTCAAGGTATGGTTTTAAATATGGGATGTCGGTTGGAGGACAAGAATCTGACAAACGCACACCTGAAGGGATGTCTACTTACCTCAGAGTCGTGGATAGTCATAAGAGAAAGCGTGCACCTTTTCTACAAGATCCAAGTCCCGCAAGTTCGGCTCATATGAGTAGGTCTAGTACACATCCAAGCTCTGGCTTCGATGGAAGTACTTCAGAAGATGATATACTGTTTCTTCCGGAGACAATGTTTAGAATGAACTGTGTACCTGAGACTGCCCTTTCGCCGGTTGCCAGAACACACGACAACTTAAAAACAGAGTTCTATGGGGTACTTGATACTTTACCGCAAGTTACTACCCGGAATCATGTTATGATCGAGAGGCTTGGTATGGTGCCTGAGTACTTTAGGATGGAAGAAAGAGGCGTTTTGCGCCGTAAAAAGGCTGAAAAATTGGGTTTTAGTGACGAACAAGCTGCGCAGGTGTCACGGAAAGTTGTTGCACGCATACTTCTGACAATGGGATGTGAAGGTGCCACGGAGGTTCCGATTGATGTCTTCTCTCAGTTGGTTAGCCGACATATCTGTAAACTAGGCCGTATTTTGAAGCTTCTTACTGACAGTTACAAAAAGGAGTGTTCAGCTATTCAGTTGATCAAGATGTTCCTTAATACTACAGGATACAGGTGAGTTCCTTTCAAGTGGTTTGACCTCTTTCAGATCGATCTTTTTCCTAATGAAGCTTAAAATCTTTAGTTGTTTCCTAACATTTTATGATTTTTCTTTCCTCGTAGGCGTTTGTTAGTGACAAAACTTCCAATTTTGGTTTTGTTCCAATTTTGATTTAATATGACGTTTTTTTTTTTCAGTAATCTGGGGGATTTAGCAGAGCTTGTTAAGGATGGTACTAGGAACCATCCTCCTCAAAATCAGAAACAACCACAAGTGCTTCAGCAACAGTTACATCTGCAGCAACAAAATCCTCTCCGGTTACCGCAACAAGTATGTACATGAAGCCTTGATGCACGAATGGTTGCTCTTATTATGTGGCATCCTAATTGGTTTGAGTTTAACTTGTTTGCGTTCTTGATATGATATTATTGCAGATGCAGAGGCAAATGCATCCACAGATGCAGCAAATGGTTAATCCCCATACCTTTCAGCAGCAGCAACAGATGGAGAGAATGCGTAGGCGGCAAGTTACATCGCCCCGGCCCAACATAGATATGGAAAAGGATCGGCCGCTGGTTCAGGTGAAGCTTGAGAATCCTTCTGAAATGGCAGTAGATGGAAATGCATTCAACCCTATGAACCCAAGACACCAGCAAATCAGACAGCAACAGATTGCTGCAATGTCGAATCTGCAACAACAGCCTGGCTATAACCAATTCAGACAATTGGCTTCAATGCAAATCCCACAAATGCAAACACCGTAAGTAGCGCCTCAAAACTCAAAAAAGCCACTTTGGTTGTGTCCCATTTCTCGACGGGTTTTGAAAAGTTGTGTCCCCTTTCTATGTTTGCAGCAATACTACAGGAACGGTCAGAGCTCAACCAGTTAAGGTTGAAGGATTCGAACAACTAATGGGAGGGGATTCTTCTCTTAAACATGAGTCGGATGATAAGCTGAGATCTCCACCTACCAAGTAGCATTTTGTTGTACAGAGACAAACACTGCCTTGCTTATGGATGTAGAAAAGTAACATTAAATTTTTAAAAATTCGTTTGATTAATTGCTAGTACCTTTTAATTTTCAATATATGTAGTAAGAAAAACGTGAGTTTTGCTTATATTAACAACTAATTAATAAATCCACTAAACAATTGGATAGAAATTATTATGACAACATTGTATTATATGGATGCTTAATTAATTAGAGTTCTGTGAAAAGCTAAGCTAACTATCTATATACTTTACACTGATTGAAGTGTGAAAAGATAAATAGAATTAAAGGGAAAATGGGAAAAATACTCAAAACGACATCAGGTTAATCAAGATTGCATCACTTAGCATCGGCCTTCTCTCTCTAGCCAAAACATAACAGTTCGACGCAGCCGCCCCTCCCGCCATGGGTTAGAGACGGGACTGTGCCTTCTCTCCAGGCCAAAAAAGGCAATTTTTAAGAAACAACTTCCATCGATTTGCATTAGCCTCTGGGAATAACCCCTTTATGTAGGAGGTCCTTCAATTAGTAGTGAATATGTATGAGAGCTAAACTTGCAGCCATTTTTCTCCATGACCTCGAATAGTTCATAAAATGCCGCTACAAGTCCCTGCTTCCCGACACCATCAATAATGATCTTCCAAGCTATTTCATCATGATAATAACCACATTGAAGCAAATTCTGGAAAACACAAGTCCCTCTCTCTTTTTCTCCATTTTTATAAAGCCCACATATCAAGATTTTGCAAGACTCTAGTTCCGGTAAATGACCAACACAAACCATATCATCTACAACCTTTGCTGCTTTCTTATAGTTTTCCAGCTTGCACCCACAGCTAATAAGAGCATTGAAAACCGACTCACTCGGAGATATTCCTTCCTTTTGTTGCATGTGATCAAACACCTTTTCTGCAACTTCTAGATTCCCAATCTCGCAGATACCTTTGATCAGCTTTTCATAGGATACTGCGTTGGGAGTAACACCGTGTTCTACCATTTTCTCAAGAAGCTCAACAACGATCTCAAAGTCAATCATATTAGACATCAGACAGAGTCCTGTTGGACCGCCTTTCTCTTTTCTGTTTTTGATCTCAACCAGATGTTTGATCAGATACAAGAACGTATGCTGAGAAGGTTCACAACCAGCATCAAGCATGCGCTTGAGGACATCAAATGCATCATCTGTCAGCCCTAGTTCGCCATAACCTTCGATGAGAGAGGAATAAGTGATAGAATCTGGGAAAACACCACCTTCCTTCATCTTCGCCATCATATCCACAGCTTCTTGCAGCCTCCCTGCTCTACAATAGCTTTGAATAAATGTTGTGTATGTATGCGCATCAGGTTTTGTTCCAGAGATCAACATATGGTGAAAACGTCTCTCGGCATGATCAAAATCACCTTGCTTTAGCAATCTATGAATCAAAATAGTATCTGTAGTGACTGTAGGCGCTAGACCCATCTTCACCATTTTTTCCTCCAACAACGTCGCTTCTCCCAGTTTTCCGTTGGTACATAGCCCATGAATCAGGGCATTAAAAGTCAACGAATTTGGAAAGCAATTCTTACTCACCATCTCCTCAAGCAGAATATGAGCTTCATCGACTTTATCTGACTTGCAGTATCCATCAATTAATGCAGTGTACATCACCACATTTGGACTTACACCTTTCTGCTCGAGGGAATCAAATAACTCGCGGGCTTCTTCCACTCTTTTTCTTTTACACAAAGAATCTATGAGACTATTATATGTCAGCTGATCTGGAACTAATCCTCTATCATTCATCAAACTAAGCAATCTATACGCACTATCAATATTACCAGATCTACACTGCCCCTCGATTAATAAATTGTAAGTGACAACACTCGGAACCACTCTGCGCTCCAGCATCTCATTAAGCACTCCCATTGCTCTGTGCACATTCTTCTTACAAAACCCATGTATCAATTCATTGTAAGTGCGTGTATTCGGACTCACGTTACGTGATTCCATCAACTCCACAACGCCTAGCGCATCTTCCATCATCCCCTGCTTACAATACCGATCAATCAGTGCATTGTAAGCGACTACATTTGGCATCAACCCTTTCTCCAGCATGTGACCAAGCAACTCTCTTGCTTTATCGAGTTTATGTTCACTACGAATAAGCACCGTATAAGTGTGAATATTCGGCTTAATGCCTTTCTGTGACATCTCCTTTAGCAAGTTGAGAGCTTCGGACTTCCTTTTTGATCCACATAAAGCCTCAATAAGCACTGTGTAAATACGAACTGTTGGATAACAGTCGTCTTCCTTCATTTTCAAAAACAAGTCCATCGCTTCACCGATCCTCCTCGCTACACAAAGACCATGTATAAGGTGAGAGTATGCAACCTCATTTCTACGGAGGCCTTTCAAAGGCATCTCCTCAAAAACCTTAAAAGCAGACTCTAAATCCTTCCTTCGACAATAACCTAGAATCAAAGCGGTGTCTGTGAAAAAATCAGGTTCCAATCCAGCCTCAACTATCTTACTCACATACTGCTTCGCTTCTACTACATTCCCTACCTTGCAATACCCTTCAACCATTTTATTATATGTGTAAAGATTCGGATAAACCTTTTTCTCCACCATTTCCATAAAAAGTTTCTCCATTTCATCGACCAATCCAAATCTACCCAACGAATTCAACAATGTGTTGTAACACTCAACAGCAAGCTTATACTTAAGCTCAAATCTTTCGTCTTTACTCATCTTCCTACAAAAATCCAAAACAAACAAAGCGTCCCCCACTGATTCACAGCTTTTAATCATAATTGACCTGATCTTAAACACAACACCACCCACATGTCCATTGTTGGTGAGGAGCGTAAGAAGGGAAGCATAAGAATACACACTGTGCTTGAATCTCGGATTCTGTGAGATCCAATGAGAAAAATCAATAGCTGTTCTGGGATCTAGATCGAGCGAGAACAGTGATGAGACATGAGAAGGGCGTATCGCCGGAACCATTGATTTCAGGGACGGATTCCTCTGCCAATTGGGTTTTGGAGATGATTGAGAGAAGACGTTGTGGGACACTCGATGGGTCAGATTCTTCCGCCGGTAGAGTGCGAATTAGCGGAGATACGGAGCAAAACGGCCGGCGAGTGAGGAGGCGGACGAAATAAGTGCAAGGAGAAGTAACTACAACATCCGTTGACGATTTCATCACCAGGGTTGATACTGAAGCAATCAAGCTCGCGTCGAACCGTGTTTTGTATTCGACGGATCATCTAAATTTGGATCTCTCCGATGATGAAAACACAGAGAAAGAGAAAGGAAGTGAAATCGAAGCACGACTTAACCAGCTCAAATGCACCTTCATTGGCAGTTGTATGCTCCAGTTCGGTAGCTGAATGGCCCTTTAGTGTACCTATATGGGCCTATATATATTTTCAAACTGTAAAATAATGGGCCAATATATATTTTCAAATTCAGTAAAGTAATGGGCCTTAATGAGCAATCATGGGCCCTAATCTGGAGTTCGACAAAAGCGCAATTTTTATTATTCCGGCAATTATCTGAAAAATAGTGATGGTCGGAGTAAAAATGCGTCGGCGATGAGAAGAGATTTTAACGGCGGATTGATCGCCTTCTCTAGAATTTTAAAGATTTTTGATAAAAAAACCGGACTATCGGAACCTTATTTTCATAGTCAATTTAGGCTTCTCTGCACCACAAGTAATTCCATAACAACGACGCACACTTTCTCTCCGCTTCTCAGGCAATGCATAGACGAGAGATCGATATCAGGAATCAAGAACATCCAAGCCCAGATGCTCAAGTCTGGTTTTCCAATCCAACTTTCCGGCAGCAAACTCGTCGACGCGAGCTTGAAGTGTGGCGAGATCGGTTACGCTCGCCAGCTGTTCGACGGAATGCCTGAAAGACATATTGTGACATGGAACTCTCTAATTGCATATTCTATTAAGCATAGAAGAAGCAAGGAAGGTGTTGAGATGTATAGATTGATGATCACCAATAATGTTCTGCCAGACGAGTACACATTGTCCAGTGTTTTCAAGGCGTTCTCGGATTTGAGTCTTGAAAAGGAAGCCTTAAGAAGCCACGGACTTGCCGTGATTCTGGGTTTGGAAGTCTCAAATCTGTTCGTTGGAAGCGCCCTCGTGGATATGTATGTAAAGTTTGGCAAAACGAGGGAGGCGAAGTTAGTATTAGACCGCGTGGATGAGAAAGACGTAGTTTTGATCACAGCTTTGATCGTTGGTTACTCACAGAAGGGTCAAGATGCAGAAGCTGTCAAGGCATTTCAAAGTATGTTGGCGGAGGGAGTCCAGCCTAACGAGTACACTTACGCCAGTGTATTGATATCTTGTGGAAACTTGAAGGATATAGGTATTGGCAAGTTGATTCATGGACTTATGATCAAGTCTGGGTTTGATTCTGCTCTTGGCTCACAGACGTCTCTTCTGACAATGTATTTAAGGTGCAGCTTAGTCGATGATTCCTTGTGGGTTTTCAAGTGTATTGAGTACCCAAATCAGGTGACTTGGACGTCTCTTATATCGGGGCTTGTCGAAAACAGTAGAGAAGAAATGGCCCTTACCGAATTTGGAAAGATGATGCGTGATTCAATCAAGCCAAACTCTTTTACATTGTCAAGTGCTCTCAGGGGTTGCTCGAATCTAGCAATGTTTGAAGAAGGAAGGCAGATTCATGGGATAGTGACTAAATATGGTTTTGACAGAGATAAGTATGCCGGGTCAGGGCTCATTGACCTGTATGGGAAATGTGGATGCTCAGACATGGCAAGGTCGGTTTTTGATACCTTGAATGAAGTCGATGTTATATCTTTCAACACAATGATCTATAGTTATGCACAGAATGGTTTCGGACGCGAGGCACTCGAGTTGTTCGAGAGGATGATAAATCTTGGACTGCAACCGAACGATGTAACAGTCTTGAGCGTACTCTTGGCTTGTAATAACTCTGGATTAGTTGAGGAAGGTTGTGAATTGTTTGACTCTTTTAGAAAGGATAAGACCGTGTTAACGAATGATCATTACGCTTGTATGGTTGATATGCTTGGACGGGCAGGGAGATTGGAAGAGGCGGAAATGCTAATAACCGAGGTGGTAAACCCTGATTTGGTTCTGTGGAGGACCCTGCTTAGCGCCTGTAACATTCATAGAAATGTAGAAATGGCAGAGCGGATCAAGAGAAAGATCCTTGAGATAGCACCTGGAGATGAAGGAACTCTCATTCTCATGTCAAATCTCTACGCAGCCACGGGGAAATGGAACAAAGTCATTGAGATGAAGAGCGAGATGAAGGAGATGAAGCTGAAGAAGAATCCAGCTATGAGTTGGGTTGAAGTCGATAGAGAAACGCATACATTCATGGCTGGAGATTTGTTTTCGCATCCAAACTCAGGGCAGATTCTTGAAACTCTTGAAGAGCTGATTAAAAAAGCTAAAGATCTGGGTTATGTGGAAGACAAAAGCTGTGTGTTTCAAGATATGGAGGAGAGTGCAAAAGAGAGATCTTTGCATCAACATAGCGAGAAACTAGCCATTGCTTTTGCGGTTTGGAGAAATGTTTGTGGAACTATAAGGATTCTAAAAAACCTTAGAGTTTGTGTTGATTGTCACAATTGGATCAAGATCGTCTCAAGAGTTATAAAGAGAGAGATTATCTGTAGAGATTCAAAGAGGTTTCATCATTTCAGGGATGGTTCTTGTTCGTGTGGAGACTATTGGTAAAATGATAGGCCTATATTCGTCCCAAGCCCATTTCATATGAACTGTGAGAGTGGAATAGATTTGAGCCCAGCATTTTTGTATCATTAGTGTTGTAGTCTTATAGATGAAATGACAATACGCAACAAAAGCAGAAATGGTCAAAGAGTACTCTTTTTGTTTTTTTTAACATCTATCTTGATGAAAACATAATTAATGATTGAAATTAAATGATCTAATACAATACAAAAATTAAGCAGAATACTTTTCCTAATTTTCTTTTTAATATCAAGAGTGGTACGTTATTTATTTCTTTTAGCTAGAGGATTTTTAGAAAAAAAAACTATTATCAATTGTTAATTGCCTAGTTATGGATACTTCTTGTAAAACATCTGAATAGTTAGAGCCAAATCGAATTTGAAATAAAGTGATACAACAATCTAAACATTTTGAGTATTTGTGTTGCCATATATAATTCCAAAAATAATCGTTAAAAACAATAAAATTTCGGTTACCTAGAAGAAAAAGGTAATGACGTGATAGAAAACATGTAACTCGTTTCGTGTTCGAATTTTCTCTTCTTTTTTTTTTTTGTTCATCATTACCAAAAGACGTTATTTTTGTGATGATGTTATGACAAATTTCGTATTTGTGCTAGGTTCGACGGCCACATGTACAAAAACTTGTTTCGAAAGAAAACTAAAAGTTCTAAACCTTTATTATTATTTCTCTGTTTTGTTTACTCCTTTGGAAAAACAGTTTAACCTTTTCCACTTTCCTTCCCATCTCGCCAAATGGGATGATATACAACTTTTGCCCACTTTAGCTCACATAGATGCATGTGTGCGCTGTAACTAGTATTTAAATATAGAAAGGCCTCATATATATAATAGCAAAATAATAGGTAAGTGATTCTAGATTTAACACAAAATTCAAACAAAAAATGTTGTACATGCATTAAACATTTCAAACGATGCAACGCATTTTTCGTATCACTATATATATGTTCAAACCTGCAGACGTTGTTACATTTTACCAAACTATAAATAAATCTGTTAATGGAGAAATATATTACTCCAAATAAAAGCGATGAATTCATTCATAGAATAATAGGTAGTTCAGAAGAAACATTATAATTGTAGTATCTTCATCTGTCACGAGTCGAAAATCGTGATCTTTCTCGCAATTGGTTTAGGTTGTTGTGGCAAAGCCGTGAAATAGCGACATATTAAATCTATTCAATTTGTATGCTATAAAAAGCAGTTACATCACTTGTATTCACATTCATCATGCTCCTTCGCTATCTATCCGTTTCATTAAATCATCAAAAGCATTTCCATCATTTTATCTATTTTATTTTGTTATATTACATTTATAAAGTTATTTATGTGTTATATATAAATGACATTACACTTTTTTTTCGATAACAGGGATGACACTACACTCTAGCTTTTTATTCGTCAAGTTAATGTATATGGTCGTCGACCAAAAGCAAGAAAGGTTAATTCTTGATTTTTATTACCTTTTTAGGATAATGAAAAAGAGATGATAAAGGGAATATGAATTTTTTAAAGGGAATAGGGTTGTTAAAAAGAGATGATAATAAAGAGAAGGAAAAAAAATTAAGATATCCGAAAGACAAAAGTTTGTAGGATGAAAAATCGTATAAAGCAAACTTACTAATGATCAACCATAAAAAGCTTAAAAGGAGATTGTAGTATGCAAAAGTGCCAACATTGCCTTTTAAGTGATCGAAACATTGAAAAAGCGATCAGAACCTAAAAGAAAAGTAATTCTTGTAGATGTTTGTGTGTGTGTGTATGGTAAAAGAAAGAAAACAAAAAGAGTAAATGTTAATAGTAATTACTAGTTAGGTGTACCATTAAACGCTAAGTAACTGAGTAAGAACTTAATACCCGCATGCATGGCTAAACAAACAAGGCTTTTTATTTTTTAAGAATAAAAAAGTAGACGATTATTTACAGGTTGATATTCTTTTAGAACCCACGAAAGTGGAACAAATGAAGACATGTGTATTAGCACCATAAATTCAAATTAAACGTTATGATTACTCATTATCATCTACATATGTATCCAAAACCTGTATACAGTCTTTCAGAACATGTATTGTTGTGTATGTGTTTTGACAATGAAACACTATTGCAATATTTGAGATAATTAAGTTCGAATTTCGTCGAACTGGTCGTTTGCACATGCTACTTCTGCTGTTCTGCATAACACATTAGTTCTTGCAGACCTTACCCTAACTCAATAATAAGATGTACATTTCATAGCATATTAAAAAAAAAAGGATGTACATAGTACAAATACATACAGTAACACAAATGTATATACATCTATGTATGCGTGTTCATGTGTATATATACAGGTAGAGAGAGAGAGAGAACCTAAAGATGGGGCTAAAGAGAGAGACTGCAAAAGATGGCCAAGGCCTGAACTCTATGTTTCACATAGACTCGACATAGTTCAGTGTCTACTAAGATGCTATATGCTTATATGTACATTAATTAGACCACACTTCACTGACAAATTTTAACGTAACATCAATCTATACTATCGATTTACAGCACAAATTTCGATGTTGTAAACGAATATTACACTATTTATTTATTACTAAAAAATTGATGTGGATCCGGATGATCAATTATTCTGCTTCGCAAATTGTGTGATAATTTAGGCTCAGACGCTCTCAGTTAAACTAAAAAAATCCAAGTAAATTTTTAAAAGGTACTATAACTAATCCCAAGGAGACATTCTAGCTGTTTAGTGAAAATGACTTTTGAGGAAGTTTTTGACTTAACCTTGGGATAACAAACATCCAATTAGTCATTAATTTGAACGCTTCACCATCAAACCAAGAACCTCAATAATTAAGCTTTAAGCACAGTAAAATCCTGTTTCGATTTTTTTCAACATTAGAATAATTAAAAGTACAGACACATCACAAATTTAGTGAATCTATTGTAATATCTCTCTCCATTCTTGAATTCCACCCCCAATTTTTGTCTTTTGTTTACAAATTGAAACTTACAATACTAAAATAGTAACCAACAACAACAACAAAAGCTGACTACAGAGAACGCCTAAACAAAACGAAAAAAAAAACTACAAACATAAATATTTTTGGCATTGCATCATAAACACACACATAACAAATTAGTAATTATATAGTTTCTTCAACTTACCAAGAATCATGGCAAAGCATTATAATGATTAAGATCAGTCCAAGCTTGAATTCCATTGTTCCAATGATCACTTCCTCCTGAATTATTATTATTATTATTATTACTATCATTGCTATTAATCACCCCTTCGTTAGCATTATTATTACCAAAATACCACTCTGTCTGATTCTCTCCTTTCTTCGTCGGCGACGGCGATGAGTTCACGATCTCGAGATTCCGGTAAAGAATGGGTTGTGGCCTCTCGACAACAACAGTATCTTCCTTAGAGTTACCAAAAAGCATCGCCATCCTCTGTTGCTGAAGCCTCCAGTGTAAATCTTGGTTCAAACAACTCAGAGTTTCTATCGAAGTAGCTAAGTTCCCGTCGTTTGCTCCGGCAGTTGCGAAAGTCGCCGGTGAATGGTTACTGCTGTTGTATTCCCCGAAACCCATCAAGGATAAACCCGAACCGACATCAACGGGAGTGGTTTCGACCTGCTCCACTGGCCTGAGGCCAAGAACTTCTTGGTTGTTCAAAAGTTGAAGATCGTTGATTTTGTTGAGAGACAATCCGGCGAGCTGAAAATCCATCGTCGTCGGAGGAGGGAAGAATTTGGAGGAATCTTCCATGATTGAAGAGAAAAACCTCTGAGACGAAGAAGAAGAAGGGGTTATGGCGTTAGGTTTGATGGATTTTTTTGTTTTCCGGCAACCGCCACCGATGGGGACGTTTCTTAAGGCACCGCCACGTGTCCAGTAACGGCGACAGGATTTGCAGAAGTGACGAGGTTGAGAGAGGCTGTAGTTGTTGTAGTAACAGAACTTTGTGTTTGAGGAGTTGCATCGAGGGCATTTTAGGGTTTGTTGGTCTTGAGAGGCGACGGAGGAAGACGGTGGTTTTTTGGTTTGGGATGTACCGGAGATACGGTGATCCGGTTTAGGAGAGGGGAGATTGGTGGTATGGGAGGACATGATGATGATGATGGGACGAGAGAAGAAAAAGGAAGAAGAAAAGTTTGTTTCCTTTCGATTTCTTGCTTTCAAGGAAATAAGTAAAGTAGGAGAAGAAGAGAGAGAGAGAGATGAACAGTCGTTAAAAGGGTTTCGTATGGTGTATATTTATATATGAGGGATCTTGTATGTATATGTGAGCATGTAAATAAAGTTTTTTTTTTTTTAATTGCATGTAAATAAAGTTTGTTTGGCATATAGTATAATTAGCGTAAACAAAAAGTTTTGCCTGTCTTCCAAAACTTGGAGAGAGTTTAATTACTTTTAAATACATTATGTTGTATATCTTCAAGAGTTGGCAAGACTAATAATTGTGTTTAGTGGCGCATTTAGAAAAAAAAGTTACAGACGTTAAAATGTGTTTGATAACTAATAAAATTATAGTATAAATTTAAATTTTAAACAAAATAAGAAAAGATATTATATGGTGGAAAATATGGGCTTGAACAGATATTTGATAGGGGTCATTTTATGATTTTTATCAAGTATTTCACTAAGTTCACCTAAAAATACAGTAACAAATAACTAATATCTTAATTTAGAGGTATCAAGTGACCTTCCTTAACTATATATAGGTCCCGCGCATTGTTGTGTTGGATGTCATTTTTTCTTCCTTTTTAAAAAGCATATAATTTGATTGATATATAAGATTTTAAAAGCCATGTAGTAAAACCTGTTATATCGATTTTGTTGGCAACAAAATATACCCATAAACCGCAAGTTTATTTTTCTTTCAAAACTGTGGTGTTCTTATATGACATTTGATTGATGAATTCATCATAAAATCTCGTTGTAGTTAATATAGAGAGACGCATTGAGTGAGAGATAATGGAGACAAACAGAGAAGATGAGAGAGAGACATGAAGTGGCAGAAAGGACAGAAGAACATATATAACTGTGCAATTGATCGGAACAAATCGGATAGAATTTGTTATGTGTCTTGTTTCTATTGTTGAGGTAACGTTTTTTTCTATGTGTGAAGTGTGCACTGCACCCAATCTTTATACATAGATCAAATACTATATTTTTTTGTGTGTTTGTACAAATATTTTTTTTGTTGGTTAAAGAATACAAATAATGTTATAGTCCTCTACATACACACACGCAGCTATATACTAACTTATAGCTGTCAACCGTATACAACTCTATTAAGGAAACCAAGACTATTGGAACTAAATATAGTTATAACATAGTATACTTTTATCTTGATATCTTTTTAAGTTATTGTTGCCAAGAAATTGAGCATTAATAGATAACTATTGCCGACACAAGAAAAATAGATAACTATTAACATATAGATATAACAGTTATCTAGTTATTATAGCTTAGTTTAAAGTTTAACATTTAAGCAGGTCTTAAATAATAGTCTTGCGGAAATTAATTTGAGAGGGGAACAAGTAGGGTTTTGGAGGAAAGTAACATTAGATTAACTTTCTGACATCTTGTAAAGTTTCTTCCTTTTTTAGATATAAATTTGACCATTAGGCCAAAAAATTCTCTGACATCTTTTATCACCCGTTTTTTTTTAAAAAAATACATATGATTAGATTCCTAACTAAATTCAATTGGCTTTTTGATAGACGTATTAATAAATTCCAATTACACAGTTAATTGTTGCCTCAACATATGTAAGTATATAACCCTTGTTACAAAAAATATATGTAGGTATATTGGTAAGAAAAACATTAAAGAATAAGATCGAAAATAGAAAAAGAGAAGATTGTGTTTCGATGATTGAGAAAACGTCTCCATCTGTGAAGAAACACGAGAGAACGGAGAAGATAAAATGGGAAACATGTGAGAGCTTCAAGAATGGATGTCTCGTGAGACTGAACCGATCATCCTCTAATATATACAACTTACACCCTTTCTTTTCTTCTTTCTAACTTACATAAAATCCAAAACCATCTACCGCAATATTTTCAAATGATAATCGCGCATGACCGATTTAACTTTAAATTTATATTTAATTTGTACAACCCATTATTTTTTATATATTTTTCAAAAAATTAATTTTACTGCTGAACTTAATGTGAAGAGCAAGTCTACTCAATGTCAAATAGAAATTTAATTCGAAACCTACTACAGAAGTACGTTTAGATTATACTAAAACGCCTTTGAGTTACAAAAATGATCTATATATATATATATTTAAAAAAGAGTTTTAGGTATTTCACCTACAATTTTCTTTAAATCAATACAAGACGAGATTTTAATAAATTAATAGTAATAATTTTTTGAAAGATTTTTTTTCGCAACAACAAATTAATAATTTTTATTTTTTGACAACAAATTAATATTCACACTCTTAATAGTTTTAATTTTTTTTTTTGCTGTAGTACACAGCCGAATATGATTTATTATTAATTTAAAGGGAGAAAGAGACCTGGCACAAAAATTACCTAAGTGAAAAGACGCAGTTTCATTAAGGATTGGTCAAATGTTATATCGTTATCAAACGTTTGTAGGAGCATAAGCGTACCACCTGATTTACCCGCTGTTCCACATTTATTACAGCCATAACATGTGAAGCTAATCACGAGAAATGAAAACAAAGAGAGAAGCGCTAATTCGTGGAGGCCCATTATGTTTTAAATTGGGCCTTATTTGGGAAATGGCCTAAAGCCCACGTAAGCATCTTCTGGTTGGTGCGTTACTTTTATCGGGACATCGACCCCAAAACCTATAAATACTTCGTGATTATATAATTGAAAGCGGTAAAAGTAGAAGCTGAGAACGCCGCTACTCCTCCTATCTCCTTCACCGGAACTCCAAAATCCAATCACCGTTCCGGCGAATACAAGGGCAAATAAGAAAGAGATAATAATGAACAACGACGAAGGCTCTTCCTCCTCTTCTCCTTCTTCTAACCCTAACCCGAATTCTACTCGAAGGGATTCGCGAGTTCCTCATAGACTGCGAAAACATACGGTGCGGTTTGGTATGGCTCGAGGAAGCGTTGGGAAAAGACAAGCCGAAGCCTTAGCTCTAGGCATGTATTTTGCGGCTTCTGCCAGTCTGATTCGATCAATTCCTAAACTTTATCACTCTGCATCTTTTGATACGGAATCGGCCTTGGTTTATCGTTATGTGTTGTGGGTTGTTTCACTTTCCCTATTAGATTTTCTGTGCTAAAAAGTTTGCTTCTTTAGGTTAAACAATCAATGATTATTTGACCTAAGTCTTTTAATTAGGTTTTCTTTGATTCAAAACTGGATTGAGGACAGGATTTTCTGTTCAAATCTGAATCAGACAAATCGAGCAAACTAGCAAACTTCTTACACGAATTTGTAACAATTGAATTTTATTAAAGCTTGGGCCTTTTATAAAAGAATTTGTAGCTCTGAGTATGGTTTCACCAAATTTCAACCTGATGTATTGCTGGTTAGCTGCGTAGCTACCAAAGTCATTGACTTGCATTGCTGTGTAATATTAATTAACTGTTTTTGTTTTGTTGATATTCTTCTTCTTTAGGTTCTTGGGAGAAAGAATGCCACGGGTCAGAATGCTTATGCTGATGACCGTGCATTGGTAAGTACTACGAATTTTCTAAATGATTTATTCTTGGTTTCGTTTCAATCTCTTTTTTTTTGCCGTAGTTTGGTTTTTGGTAGTGATAACACCACTTTCTTTGATTTTGCTCTGCAGATTTATGCGTCTGCTGTCAAAGAATCTTTAGCGAGTGTAAGCCAAAAGTGCCCCGATTTTTTTAGTAATCTTCAATTTACAGATATTCTTAATTATAATGATGTGATGTGATTACAGGTCTACGGTCATAAGCTTGGTTCCTTTGCAGAGCGATCATTTAACACCACTCTAAGGATTCTCAAGGTGATCAATGATTCTACATTTCCGCATCAGGTAGACAATCTCGAGAAATCCAAGCTAAAGATGGGTGTTTCGAAAGCTGCATTCAGAGCCGAGAGATTCAAAACCAAATCAGAGGATACAAGAAAACCCTATATGGTCTTGGATTGTATCGTCCTAAGTGTCTTCAACATTCTGTTTTCGACGTTATATGGAACTTACGTCTTCTCACAACAGAGGATCATGGAATCTACCTCAGTATGCAACTCCATTTCCGAGGATATAAGTCATTCTTGGTGGGTTCCAAAACAAGTATCACAGATAAACACAGAGTTGAACATCTTGATTTGCAGTTTTGGAGTTTGGATCCAGATATATTTCGCTCTCGTAATGATCTTCGTTGTCACGTACTTGATAATCCATCGTTCATCAGGTACAAAACAGACAAAGCCGGTAACTTTTACCGTGTTTTTCCTCGGTTATGTTTGCGGTTTACTGGGTAAGTTTTGTGTGGACACGTTGGGTGGTAACGACAAACTCTGGCTCTTTCTTTGGGGAATTTTTTGCCTTTTGCAATTCTTTGCAGTGGTCTTTACGTCGGCTTTGTATGGTTTAGTGTACGGTCCTGTAAATGTGACTCAAGGGACCAAATCAAGCAGTATGGTTTCGTATTGGGCATGGCGTAGTCTCTTCCTTGGAGTGATTCTGTTGGTGCTTCCTCTGACTTACGGCCTCTTGCCATTTGCGACGTTTGGTGAAATTGGAAAGATCATTTCTCTTTAGTTATGTTTGAGTTTCTTTATGGTTTCGGGCTTTGATATTTGAGGGAAATCCCTCTTTGTTTTTTTTTTTTTTCCGACATTTGCAATTGAAACATGATATTTTTTTTTAATTTGGTTTTTTTTCCTTTTCTTATGAGAACACTCTGAAATCGCTGTTACAGAATTTATTATTTATAGTCAAAGGAAACTTTTTCTAAAATAAAATGGTTTCTGCGCTAAGATGAGACTGACCATATCCCTCGTCAACAGAGTCGTGATTTTTTTAAATCTTAAATGTTAGTGTTTTTAATCTATTCTAGAGAATTCTAATGATGAGAATTTGTTAGAATGTACAAATGTTGCATCATATTAAAAGACATATCAATAAAAATAAAATATTCCAAATACATTAAAGGTATAAATGTCCACAATAATGGATCAAGAAACAAAAATGTGTCCGTAAAAATTAATATTTTTATTTAACAAAACAAATAAAAAAGTACAAACAAGAATTTAGTTTTAAAACCTAATATTTCTTAGTTTCTTATGTTGTTTGGTGACACTTATAAATTTAAACATAATTTTATAATATTTTGGTTGTAATTTAGGATAAAATCTTAATAAAAATGATTAAAAATGAAATAAAATTAAGCAAAAGACAAGAAATACAAATATTAAAATTTAATGAATTAGGTGAACGTTAAAAAAAAACAAACTACAACAATAGTAAATTCAAGAAACTGTTTATCCTAATATTACAATATATTATTTTGTTTTATTTATTTTTTCTTTCAAAGAGATTCTCTTTATTCTTATTTTCACTTGAAGAATTGCTAACCAATAATATTGAACCTACTAAAGATAAATTAAAAAACTAAAAAATTATGTATATGTAAATCTTGTAAAGAAAATGTTCTAAGTTTATCTAAAAAAATATAGACCGTAGGCCTATGTTTCTTATATTATAACGTGAGCACGGCTCTGCTCGTCATGAATAGATTCACTTGAGATCCAAGACTTGAAAACTTTCCTCCCAAGTACAATGCTCCATTGGTATCCTAGTAGAGTAGGCTTAACCGAGAATATGTTAGCTCAGAAGATCGACTTGGCCAGACTCATGTAATAGGTTTTGCGACTGTTCCAGTTGGTAGTGACTTGGTACAGCCTTACAAAGGCAGACCTAATCGTTTGAGACAGGTCGTACTGGCGAATATGCAGTGGAGCTGGGCCGTAAAATAGCAGGATAATCTGTAACTGATGCTGCAAAAAGTTAAAATTCTGGTTGGAGTAATGGTAATTTGGTTGCAGAGAAAGTCGTGCGGTAGATAGAGACGACGGTCTGGTCAGTGGTCCATTGGCTTCACATTTTAGACGATGGATGGCATTGATCTTCACATTGTCATCCCCTTGAATATTTCGGTTTTCAGATGATCTCTTATGTGTGTTTTTATAAATCACTCTTTTTTCTTGTAGTGAAGGAGGGATATAACAAGTCCTTCTTAGATCATGAAAATGCTACAGACACAACTAGAAACAAGAAGCTAAAAAAATCCACAATCTCTCCAACCGAAACTTGTTCTGTTTTTAATCCAGGAATATCTACAAGATGCCATACTTGAGGCAAAATAGCTATGATGTTGAACTAAACGTCTACTGAAACTAGAATTTCCATATGTGGCTTTTTGCCTTCACTTTACAGATTATAACTAGACATGTTTTTGGGAGTTTGTCCAAGAATCAAGACAGCAGAAACACAAGCTAAGATGAAAGTTCACGGGTGGATTAGAGTGGGTCATATTTACCATATGTCAAATGATTCTTCGTGTGTTGCAACCTTGTCCATACTCATTCTTGTTGTATTGTATCCGCACACGAGGTCACTTTGGTAAATGTATCTAGGTGGAGCTCGGAGATTCTTGTTTGAATAGAAGTGAGATCGATATGATGTTTTCGAGGTGATATTACGAGGTCAAGTAAACGAGGTAAGAGTTGAAGATTTAAGTGTAGAGTTTTTTAGTCTTTATTTCAGATTACGGATCCCGTAATAAATGAAGTTACAGAGCTATTTATAGTGTTGAGATTATGTTACATCTCGGTCAGACTAGCTTGGGCGGTCGGGTAGATAGACCTGACCGACCGTCTATTAAAACGTCATGCTGGCGAGCTGTTTCATCTGTGTCGACGTGGCGAGCTGTCCATTCATGTCGAGGTGGCGAGACGTCCCATCCGAGGTGGCGAGCTGCTCCTTTGATATGAAAAGGTCGTCTCCCTGAACGACCTCGTTTTACTCTTCGCGCATGGGCTTGTCGATCTTTGATCTTACTAGACTTCCATTTCGCTAACGGGCCTGAACGAAATTACAAAAAGGGAGCTGTGCTCAGCCCACCTACAACAATTCTGTCTTCTTGACTTTTGCCGGCCTCCTCCTCCTCCTACTACTGTTGGAACATTCATGTAACACGTAATTGATCAGTTTCAGGATTAGAAAAAGTACACACACACAGTTGCTTCATCTTCTACATGTGTAAGACCAAAATCATGACACAGATAATTCTTTTCTTTCTCTTATCCAAAAACTCTTTCCAAGATCTTTCATGTGACCGATGTGAACCTAAGCCAATAACCAACAAAGAATAGCAGTACGTAGTAACCTATGTGAACCTAAGCCAATAACCAACAAAGTGAGCCAATTCCAAACAACCAAAGAGAAGAATCAGATAGTACCTGAATTTGTGAGCCACAAATATGAAGACTATTAAGACGCAAGCTCCCACCGCTAATACAAGTATGAGTTCAAGGCGTTGTAAGTTGGTGTTGGTGTTGTCTCCAGGGAGGCCAGAGCGATACTTGTTGGTCATATCGTCATTCACAAGTCCCCAATTTAGAACCCCTTGCTTCGTGTCAACAAGCTCAAAGATGTAAACCTCTGAAACACCTTCTTTCCTCAACCTTCTTCCACGCCCGTATCTCAAGCGAGTTATCAATGCTTCCAAGAACATTTCACTGTAGAGCAATGTCGCATCCACTTCACTGGCATTGATTCCCGAGCTAGGCCAACCAGTCGCCGCCACAATCAACGGTAGATTCTTGTGCCCCATGGCGGCCATCGAGCTAATCACAGCATCGACCATCATATCAAAGAGATTATCGTACCTAACTCCGCTCTTAAGATCGTCTCTGAAATATAAAGGGGAGTTTCCAAAAAGAGCGAATCCGAGTGGAATCAAGAAGCTGGATCGGTAAATCTGGTAGGGATGCAGATTGATTATGAAAGATGAGTTGGTTCTTTCGAGGAATTTCAAAATCGGCTTGATAATCAGCTCCCCGTTAGGTTGTTGGAATCGAGCCGACGAAGGAGGAAAAGCCATTGGGATTGTGTTGGTGAAAGAGAAGGTCGTGGATACAGATATCTTGTCCATTCTCAGATGCGCGAGAGACCTCTGAACATTCTGCATCGCCGGGAGTAGAAACAACGGCGGACGAGCATCCGGCGAATATGATGAAATCACGTCGTTTCCGACGGAGATCACTGAGATTTTGGTGCGAGGATGGAAAGGAAGCACTTCGCGATACACCCAACGCAACGCGAAGGAGCGATCTGAAGCGAGGAGAGGAACCAGAGGATTTGGAATGGAGAGGAAGAGAGAGACGTTGGTGTTCGCGAAGGCGCGCATCATCGCCGGATTTGGCTCGAGGAGCCTCACCGCCTTAATCTTCATGGAAACAACCTTGGCGACGATTCTTTCTGGCGATATCGGAACAGAACCGGAGATGGAAGCTGGAGACGAGATGGTGATTCCGATCTTCGTGGCGGAGATGCTCGTCGGCACAGCTATGGCGGTTAGCGAGAGAAGGAGGAGGAGGAGATGATACGAGACAGGCTTCATCTTCGTCGCTTGCGAGAGAGAGGAAAATTCAAGAATCTGAGAATTTGCACAAGAGACTGAAAGGGAGATTGGGCGGGATAAAGTTGTTAGAGTGAGTGTGATTCTCTGTGCTACAGTCTATATATGATACAGTAGTCTACTCTAGTAATCATAACATAACCAATCAGAAACAGAATTAAAGCGTACCATTGCGAATAATGTATGTTACAAAAGAGTTTTATAAAATCATATCTCCAAAAATAATGACAAAGAATAGAGATGCTTCAAAAGCATATAACACAATTATTAAATAAAGCATAGAGAGAATTTTTTAGAGTTAACGACCAAATTCGTGGCTTGTGAACGTTATTGAAGCTCCACTTGAGTTAACCGAGGGAGAAGAAGAAGACGAGGTGTAATACGTAGCAACAGGCCTCTTCAATGGAAGATTATCAGGCAATGGTGACTCAAAGCTCAGCACTTGGATCGCTTGTTTTATCGAAGGTCTTGAGTTTTTATCAGGATGACCACACCCTAACCCCAAAACCAGAAGACGTTGAGCTTCTTCTCTGTTAAAATCCTCACCCAATTTCTCATCTACACATGAAATCAACGTTTCTTCTTGCTTTCCATAAAGTTCCCACACTTTCTCCACAAGACTCTTCTCATCACTCTCTGTATCACTGTTTTCTTCTTCTTCTTCCTCTTTCGTTCGCTCCAACGATTTTCTCCCCGTCACAATCTCCAGTAGAACAATTCCAAAGCTATATATATCAGATTCTTTACTTGCACTTCCTGTCATCACATATTCAGGTGCCATGTATCCAAAAGTTCCAGCCAATCCTGTTTTATGGGAATCAAGCTTATGATTCATAACCCGAGCCAGCCCGAAATCCCCTAGCTTTGCATTGAAATCACTGTCAAGCATTATATTGCTTGCCTTGATGTCTCTGTGTAGTACACATTGATCCCATTCTTCATGAAGATAAAGCAGAGCAGAGGCTAGACCACGAGCTATCTTGTACCTTGTGTCCCACGAGAGTATTTGTGGTCTTTTACCAAAGAGGTGAGAGTTCAAGCTACCATTTGGCATTAACTCGTATATCAGTAAAAACTCATTTTCTTCATTACACCAACCGATGAGTTGCACCAGGTTTCGGTGTCTTAGTTTGCTGATGACCTTAACTTCGTTTAGAAACTCTTTCTTCCCCTGCCTAGAACCACCCGATAGTTTCTTCACCGCAACCCTCATATTGATTTCTTTCAAATTCCCACTGTAAACCGCTCCAAACCCTCCTTCACCAAGCTTCCTAAGCTGTGAGAACCCGTTGGTTGCTGACACGAGATCCTTGTAAGAAAACTTTCTTGGTCCTGTTTCCCTTTCGAGGTCTTCGTTTATCGATATCATGTTTGTCATCTCTCTTGCTTTCCTCTTTCTTTGCTTCCGCGACCAAACCACCACGGTTGTGATGACCAAAAAGGTCAGGAAAACACACCCGGAAACCGAAATGCCAACTACAAGTCCTATCCTGTTATTGGCTTTCTCGCTTTCCAGACTTGAACTGAGCTCCCATGATAAAAGTCTATGTTCCTCTGTATTTGTTCCCGCAGCGGCTATAAACCCGAGCATAACTTCCGATGGTAGAACCTTTGCGAGGTCGATGATGTAAGAAAGGCTCGAATTCTCCTTTGGATCAGCGGAGGCTGTTAGTTCATAAGACCAAGTCACACTTAAGTTCTTTGCAACAGAATCATATGAGATATGCGCATGACCAATATCTTGGCTGTGCGCACTTGCGTTCCAAGAGGTGTAGTTGGAAGAAACAAGCGAGTTATTATTGATCCCGACATGAGATCCAACATTCCCAGGATCCCAGTCTGGGTCGTTGAATGTGTCAAACTCGACATGAACGAGAGGGAATGAAGATTTGTAAATATCCTCTCGTGTGAACATACCCAAGAAACCACCAACAGAGTAAGCAGGGAGTTGAGCTCCCATAGGAGCAAGAAAGAAACATATCCCATGACCATCTGCTGAAAGGTTACGAGCATCGATTTTGAAGGAGAAACTGGTGTTAAAATCGGAAGTCTTACCAGTTCTAGGACTCCATAGAGGCACCTTCTTAGAATAAGTTATCCAACCAACCTGAGATGTACGTGCAGCGTTGTTGAAGTTGACTGTTCCATTTTCATCGGGCGTTGCATCCCCGTGGTAAACAATGTTCCCGGCATCACCTGGTCGAAAACTAGTAAATTTGAAGTAAAGTGAATCAACAACAAAAGGGAGGAGGAGGAAAAAGGAAAAGAACAAGATTGAACAGGCCATCGAGAAGGAAGAAGAAAGATAAGAAAAAAGATGGCCTAAAATCATCAAGTACAGAAGAACGGAAAATCCAATCAAGAACTAAAGTGCGGTCAAGAAAAGAAGGCCTAATTAATTGAGGGTCCATCCAACATATCACTATCACTGATTCTCCTTTTCTTACTTTTCTTAAATCTCTAGTCAAACCAAGTCTAAAAAAACTATCTTCAAACAGTTTGACTGAGTCCAACTCAAAATTTTTTTTACTCTGCTCAAGAATATGGCAAGACCTGCAAAATTTAGAAGATTTCTTGAACGGTAACATACTTTGCAATCATAAAGTTAAGGAGTAAAAGCAAGCGAAAACTTTATACCAGCTCAGCCTAGATATGGTATGCCTTACCAGAATAATGCTCTGTTAACGATGCCCATAGCCCTATATTTTTCCTTTCAAAATGATGAAGATGAGTACGAGAAACGAAAATTTGAATGTGAATAACGAGGGAAAAAAGAAGAAAAAGCCATAATGAGAGAAGGAAACATACACATTGCCGAAGAAGCTTTTAGTATAGACAAAGAACACAATGTAACTACAACAGAGTGCAGAAATTAAAGATAATTCCACAGCAACAAGAGAAATGTGAAAGTCAAGTGAGCTGGCAAAAGGGAGAAGGAGGGAAGGAAAAAAGCAAGAACAAGAGTGAGTTTTTCATTGTGCAGATAGAAGCTAAGAAGGTCTCTATATTCATTAAGCTATACTTAACATTAAAACAAATTATAATTTTGTAGAAAAGGGCCATCAAGTCAAACTACAAAACTGCAATTAGAAAAAATGTAGCTCATTAGAGAACCAGAATCAAACCTCGGATAACGAATACGAATCAAATCCCTGTAACCACGGATTTTTCTTTTGTCAGTCAACTAAGTCTATCTGCTACATGAACAGAGGAATGTGCTTAATTACTACTAAACCAAGCAACACAATTGATGCTAAGAATAAACAACTGATAACCAAAACGATAAAATAAGTTTGATTCGAAGACGACATGAAAATATAAACATAGAAATCCTTTTTTAAACGCAATGTCCTAATAAATATTCAGGTTAACTCTACCTTCAAATGATTCGCCTTATCATGATCATGCTCCAACCAATCAGCCGAGGTATATCACGAACCGGTTAAAGAATTTCAACGAACAGTTGGTGGGCATACTCTTAAAACTAACCTTTTCTGAAGAAAAAAATCATGAATCTTTCTAAACATATTATAAAATGTTGGTTGGACATAAAGACGATGAATCTTGCTAGAGTATTCAAGTTCCAATGTAAACGATTCTTCTCGAATACATAAAAATTGTTAAAAATCACACAAAAAATAAGGGTTTTGTGAAATTCACGAGGAGAATAAACACCTGATCATGTTATAATAATGATCAAGTAGAGTTGATTTGCAAACACCCTCAAATTTTTTCTCTCAAGCTCAATTCCAGAGAAAAAAACACAAATATGTTAGAAACAAACCCACAAAACTGGTAAAAGAATAACTATCGGGCTTATATGTAATAAACAAAATACAAAATTGGTGGGTTCACATGTAATGAACAAAACTATCGGGTATATACTCAATAAACAAAAGTATATGTAAATAATGAAACGGCAGGGACCATTAGTGACAAACAAAAACAAAACTCGAGGGTACATATATGTAATTAACAGAAGTTGAGGGTACATATGAAATATTATGTTCCAAACTAAAATTGACAAAAGATCAGTGATCCGGACTCTGTAGTCGAAGATCTCTAAAAGCCCTGCGATCATCATCGCGAAAATACAAACCATCGTCGAAGTTCTGCGAATAACTGACAACATCGTAGTGAAACTTGATTAACGTCTTGGGTTTCGTGTTACGGCAACTTGTAACCAAGAGTAACTTTCTCAGCAAATTCCTCAATCTCGGACTTGATCTTGTGTTCTTGTTGTGGTTACTGATTCGAGCGTACTCTGTTCCTCTGTGGATCAATGAGAGACAAGAAGACGGGGAACTCAAGCATCCACCGGTGAAGTACGAAGGTTTTCGGTGGTTGGCGAGAGCGAGATCTCTATCCATTTCTTCAAGAACAAAAAAACATAGAGAGAGAGAGAGAGATTGTTTTTAACGAGCGAGTGGAAATTTGGGTTTTATAATTGATGAAACTTGGAAGAGTTAAAGAGCTAAACATAAATGAATGACCAAAAAAAAGAAAGAAAATGTAGTAGATTTTGGATGTTTATGTTGTAGCGGTCCAATCATAATTTCTCGTTTTATGGATTGTTAATTAGTTTTCTATGGTCAACATTTTCTTTCTATTGTAATATCTATCTTCATTTGGTAGTAACTAGTAAGTTGATACATGTAATTGTTGTACTGCCTAATGGTAAAATTCAATGGTAATACTTAGAATAACCTGATTAGTACGTACTGTAATTGTGATTTATATATATTATTACACTATTTTACCATTTCGTAATATTGTTAATAAGAGTTTTTTTTTTTAATGAAGGGTTGATAAAATTTATTGTCGGATGGATCCTTGTCGTATTTGGGGCACAACACAGCTACGTCGAGTATCGCTATATAACTTCAACGTGTCTTGTCGAGTTTTTTGGATCAGTTCGTCGAACAAGTTATTACGATGTGTATGGGTGACGTTGAACTCGTGGGGCATTATTTATCACCTTATAAAAAAGGGGCAAAAAAAATGTTAAAACGCTAGAAGGAGGGGTCGAACCTCCGACCTTGTGGTTAACAGCCACACGCTCTAACCAACTGAGCTATTCCAGCTTTTGTTTATGATTATCGAAAATAGCTATATATATATCTAACAAATATCATTAGGTGAATATACTATGTAGAGATTTTATAAATTTTTGTAATATCTATGTTTACTGGGGATTTTTTTTTTTGTTTTTTTTTATATACTCAAATTGCATGTATACAAAACAATTTTATTTAAACAAACTTAAGTTATTTTATTACTTAAGTCTCCAAATGTAAAAAAATATACAATTTTAAACAACTTAAACCCAACAAAAAGAGAGAGAGAGTCGAAATTACCCTTTTATCACATCAATAGGATTGACTTGGAACCTATACAAAACAAACAAACAAAAAATCTCAAGAAATAAGAAAAAAAAGTCCGAAAAATAATGAAGAGAATAACAATAATCGCGACGCTTGTTATAGCCAACACTCTAATGGCGAATACAACGTCACGAGCCTCTCTCAATCTTCTTCGCCGTTCACCACCAAAACTACGAACTGCTAAAACTTTCTCTTCTTCTCAGTTTCGTCCCTCAACTTTTCCTAAATCATATCCTTGCCCCATCTGGTCTTCCTCTTTCTCCTTCTGTCTCCCTCTTAGATCCACTTCCACTTCTCTGCCCTTCCGCCACTTCTCCTCCTCTCCTCCCTCCATGTCCTCCGCCGTCGCCGCCGCTTCTTCCGTCGCAGACTCTGTTGTCTCCGACGATAGTCTCTTATCGAATCCTCTCTTGCAGGATTTCGATTTCCCTCCGTTTGATTCCGTTGATGCCAAACATGTTCGTCCCGGCATCCGTGCTCTACTGCAGCACCTCGTATGTATCTCTTCTTCCCGGAGATTATGATTGGATCATTTTCGTAGCTTCTCGTGTATTTGTTATGGACATTTGAGTTTGATTGATTTTTTTTTTTTTTTTTGGCTTAGGAAGCTGAACTGGAGGGGCTAGAGAAATCTGTGGAGCCATCATGGCCTAAATTGGTGGAACCATTAGAGAAAATCGTTGATCGGTTAACTGTTGTTTGGGGAATGATCAATCATCTTAAGGCTGTCAAGGATACACCTGAGCTTCGTGCTGCCATTGAAGACGTTCAGGTACAATGTTAGATGCAATACTCATGCTTGTTTGATCTGTGAGATTGGAATTCGTATACTAACCATAGTGTTGTTCTGCAGCCAGAGAAGGTGAAGTTTCAGCTCAGGTTGGGGCAAAGCAAGCCTATATACGATGCCTTTAAAGCTATTCTAGAGTCTCCTGACTGGCCATCGCTCAGTGAAGCTCGTCAACGTTTAGTAGAAGGCTAGTTTTTCTAGATCTATTCAACGGAAGAACATCTATTTCATCATCTTTTGCAGATTTATAGATGCGCTGACTGTTGTTTTCACCACTATTTCAGCACAAATAAAGGAGGCGGTTCTCATTGGTATTGCTCTTGACGAAGAAAAGAGAGAAGAGTTTAACAAAATTGAACAGGTTTGTCTTAACCCATTGACAAATTAAATGTTAGCCAGTTTGGTAACTGGTTTCGGAATCTGTCACAGCTTTGTTTTCCCAAGAACTGTCATCTCGCAATACTAATATGCTTTTTTTCTATTGATTGAAGGAACTCGAAAAACTTGCTCATAAGTTTTCTGAGAATGTTTTGGATGCTACAAAGAAGTTTGAAAAGTTGATAACAGAGAAGAAAGAGATCGAGGGATTGCCTCCAAGTGCTCTTGGGCTATTCGCACAAGCTGCTGTGTCCAAGGTGCTTATATCAACTAAAAAAGATATGCAAATTTCCATGTTTCTTTTCTTTCGGGGTTTCTCATTTTTTCCGTCTTGATAATGTGACACAAGGGCCATGAAAATGCAACTGCTGAGAATGGACCGTGGATCATTACGCTGGATGCTCCTAGTTATCTTCCTGTCATGCAACATGCCAAAAACCGTGCTCTGCGTGAGGAACTCTACCGTGCTTATCTATCTCGTGCCTCTTCTGGTGATTTGGACAATACAGCAATTATTGACCAAATCCTGAAGCTTCGATTGCAAAAAGCGAAGCTTCTTGGTTACAACAATTACGCTGAGGTAGAGTCATCAACCTAAGTAAAACCGTTCCTTTTTTCTCTCTAATTGGCTTAATATGACACTATATTATTGTAGGTAAGTATGGCTATGAAAATGGCTACTGTTGAGAAAGCAGCAGAGCTTTTAGAGAAGCTTCGTAGTGCTTCCTGGGATCCAGCTGTTCAAGGTAACATGTTGGCAGCTGCTGTAACAGTCAGGCAGTCAGCTATAGCATGAGATTCCATGGCCTATTAAAGACGAACTTTGTTTTTCCTGGTTTGCTTCATTGTATGAATTAGACATGGAAGACCTCAAGAGTTTCGCAAAGAGCCAAGGTGCTGAAGAATCTGACAGCTTGACTCACTGGGACACCACTTTTTGGAGTGAGAGGCTTCGTGAATCCAAATACGATATTAATGAGGTTCTTTGCCCTCCTCGAACTGTGACATAACGGTATTGTTTTGAAAGTCTTGATTTGTATCTGTCGCTTTGGTCTTTTTAGGAAGAACTACGTCCATACTTCTCCCTGCCAAAGGTTATGGATGGACTTTTCAGTCTAGCTAAGAAATTATTTGGAATCGATATTGAACCAGCAGATGGTGTGGCTCCGGTAAATTCTGGAAACTTATCTGTTGCGTTGGCATGTGATATACTAGTTAAAGCGTGTTATCTGACATTTATTATTAATTTGAAGGTCTGGAACAGCGATGTTCGGTTCTACCGCGTCAAAGATTCTTTTGGAAACCCAGTCGCTTACTTTTACTTTGATCCATACTCTCGCCCTTCAGAGAAAAGAGGCGGTGCTTGGATGGATGAAGTTGTTTCCCGTAGCCGAGTCATGGCTCAGAAAGGTACGTCTGTTAGGCTGCCTGTTGCTCACATGGTCTGCAACCAAACTCCTCCAGTAGGTGACAAGCCAAGCCTTATGACATTCCGTGAGGTAAATGACAAATCTTAGATTTTCTTCATCTTTTATACCTGCTTCAAATCTTAGCCTGGCAGAAAATTTCGAGAAATTCTTACTTGCTGACTACAATATGACGCTAATATACAGGTAGAGACTGTGTTTCATGAATTTGGACATGCTCTCCAGCATATGCTTACCAAGCAGGATGAGGGGCTAGTGGCTGGTATTAGAAATATCGAGTGGGACGCGGTTGAATTACCATCACAGTTTATGGAGAATTGGTGCTACCACAGGTACCTCTTTGTAATGCTTTTTCAGTGGTATGGTGGAGAAATTTAAAGTAAATTTACGTTAATGAGTGTTATGAATCTGAATTGCAGGGACACGTTAATGAGCATTGCTAAGCATTATCAAACAGGGGAAACACTCCCAGAGGAAGTGTACAAGAAACTCCTAGCTGCAAGAACATTCCGTGCAGGGTCCTTTAGTCTTCGTCAGGTGAGTGCAGCACAACAAACTTGTGATTGTTTTACATATTAAGTGACGATTTTTCATCGTAATGGATCCATGGAATCAAGACATTTTTTGTTTGTTATTAACGATGGTTTCATGTTTTTTTGTTTCAGTTGAAATTTGCGAGTGTTGATCTAGAGCTGCACACAAAATATATACCAGGCGGACCAGAGTCCATTTACGATGTAGATCAAAGGGTATCAGTAAAAACTCAAGTGATTCCTCCACTCCCCGAGGATAGATTCCTTTGTAGCTTCAGTCACATATTTGCAGGTATCAATCATCTAAAACCCTCAAGAGAGAAATATTTTTGGTTGCTTTTTGGTCAAATCGTTCACGCATACATTCGCTTGTTCATGGATAGGTGGATATGCGGCTGGATATTACAGTTACAAGGTGATTTTGAATCTCTTTTGAGCAAAACTTTAACCGATCGACTCTGTAGTAAATTTTCTCACCCAAATATTTTATTTTAAAAAAAAAACTTGCAGTGGGCAGAAGTTTTGTCCGCAGATGCATTTTCAGCTTTTGAAGACGCTGGACTGGACGACATTAAGGTATTTTATTACAATATGCTAAAAGACATTTAATTAAGAAGCATAAAGAGTTGAGAAACGAGAGATTACATGAATGAAACTCCTTTGCTGCAAACAGGCTGTTAAAGAAACAGGACAGAGATTCAGAAACACAGTACTTGCGCTTGGAGGAGGAAAAGCGCCTCTTAAGGTATAGCTTTGACTATTTACTTTGTTTTCATATGATAGCTTCAAATTCAGTGCTTATGACGGACGGCCATTCTTATTGATTCAAAATTATGTTCAGGTCTTTGTTGAGTTTAGAGGACGCGAACCTTCACCAGAGCCTCTTCTCAGACACAATGGTCTCTTGCTGGCTGCCTCTGCTTCTGCTTAAACCTTTATATTTTTACTATTCTTGTTTTTTTTTTTTTTCTTTTGATCGAAGCTACTCTCGTTTCCAATGTGACATTTTATAAGAAAAGAAAAAATCAACTTTTTTTCAACAAATAAGATTTTTAATTTTCCAACCATTTACATCGCTCAACTACTACATTGCATTGATTCTTTCTTCTCTTCTATCAACTTTTTTTCCTACCACAACCAGACTCTTTACCACTAAGAACAAAGCAAAAAATTAAGTCATAGAACCCCCAACAGACTCTTGTCTTCTCCAACATTTTCCACACTCCATTCTCACCTTCTCTGTTCATCATCTGACAAATACACTAAAACAACTCCTATATCTAAAAGGTGAATTAAATAACGAACTAGCTTTTTCTCTATCTACCCATACCATGTTTTCTCTCTAACAAATAAAAACTGCTTCCTAAGGTTTCCTTCAAAAGAACAGACAAATCCTTCTCTTTCTCTCGGTGTTTTTCCCCTCCTTCCTTCCTTTACACCCACGGTTCCACCTCTCTGGCTAAGTCTTGTGGATACAAAACGCTTCTTAGTACTTGAAGACAGAGGAACAACTGGCTAAATCCTCCAATAGATTCTATCAGTGAGCTTCTTTTGATTCCACAAACGGCGATTGAACACTATCTGCATCAGAATCACTACCTGATGAACTCCCACCTGACCCTGAATCTGCATATAAGCATCAAAACCACACAACTTTGTTAGAGCTGACACAAGAACAGTGAATATATTTACTTGGCCATAACAAGGAGAGTTTTTTGGAACATACCACTAGACGAGGAACCGCTACTAGAACTAGAGCTGCCGGAAGAACTAGACCCACTACTAGCAGCAGCTGCTACAGCAGTACCATCTCTTTCGATTTCTACAGATGGATAATCTTCGATTGGTATGTCTTCTCCAATGTCTACATCCTCTTCCCCTGCATCCCCTTTCCTTGTTCTCTTCTCCGCACTACCCATTTCTGCCGCCACCGACGTCTGAGAGAGACAGAGACGGAAAAAAACAACAATCTAAGTACAGACAGAAGAGAAACAATGGCGGCTTCGATAGGATGCAGCGTTAATTTGCTTACCATGTTTCTAGGTGGAGTTGAAGCATTCCGGATAAACCCTTGGCGCTTGATTTTGCTGGCCATCTTCTTGTAATTGGTCACAAAACGATCAAGCTCCCATAGAGTCTCATTGTCTACCGCTTCAATATCAAGCTCGATTTCGTCGCCATCTTGAGCCAAATGTCCGTTTCTCTTTCTGAGAATCTGAACCAACTGCCCGAGCTTCTCAGGAGGCAAGTCTTGTAGATTCATACCAAGCTTTGACTTCTCCTCCATTGTCATCAGTCTTTTGTTTGGATCCTTAGCCTTAGGCTTCGGCAACTTCCCTTTCCTCACTTTGGTCACTTCAGTCACATCAGGAGGGGCATCGACTTCAGTAACCGGCTGCGGAAGGGGCGGTTGAGGCTGAACCGCAGGTGGAGGAGGAGGAGGAGGAGAAGGCGAAGGAGTTTGCACAAGTGGCGGCTCGACTACTTGCGGAGGCAATGTAGGTTGTGGCGGCTTCACTGAATCTAACTTCTTCGCTATAGAGATTTGTTCGGTTCCTCTCCTCGCAATTGCAGCCATTGGAGTCTGATTCCACTGCCTTTGCATGAACTCAGATTCAGGACGAGATGATGAACAAGTGAGTTTCAGCTGCTGAGCCTCGAATTTCTTGAATGCAGGATTGAACATAACATCGAATTGATCAAGAAGCTTCTCAGCCATAAAATACACATCTTGTCCCTTCGGGTTGTACGCCATTGCATTCCTGAATGTCAATCTGACATCGGTTGCAAAATCAAGCGGCGAAACGTAAAACCTCTTTTCCAGATTCATCTTAACCGTGCCCAGATCCATGGGTTTCTTCACGATCAGATGGTAGTCATGAAGCCCTAAACCTACAACATCAACAGGCGTGTTGAACACCCACGCCCATTTATGCTTCATCAGCTTACCCAAGATCTGACTGCAAGTATTCAACATACCGGCCAACAATTTCTCCGACTCCGGATCCGAAGCCGCCGGCCGCTTCATGTGAGACTCTTCCGTAGCAAATGGATTGCATCGCTTCAGGCCTGACCCGTTTTTCTTTGGTTTCTTCTTCTTCAGTCCAAGGTCATTCGTTTCACCGGCAAAGCTATTGGTCGGAGCTGATCGAACGGCGGATACCTCAGGTGTATTGTAAACTTGCTGGGTCTCGAACGTCCCTGACTCGATCCGTTCCCTCAGGATCCGAATCTGCTCGAGTTCTGAGGTCAATCGCTTCTTCAGCTCCCTGAGCTGACTAGAGGTGTACCCAGCGACATTAAAAGTAGCGTAAGCTCCAAAATCTGACGAATCATCGAACTGCTTGCTCGAATTGCTCCTGTGAATCGAATCGAAATTAGGGCTAGGGTTAGGGTTGAAGAGAGAAGGAAAAGGATTATTGGTGTTTTCGGGGACGGATTGGCTTGTAAATTTCCTCATAAAAACGGCGCCGCATTGTCCCTGGAACGACGGTTCGTTTAAGGTAGCCAAAACAGCCGGCGCCATACGAATCGCGAAGGTTGCAAGGTCATTTCGGGGTTGTCGCTCTTATGGAGTCTCCAGCTTCTCTAAAATATTTTACCTCCAAAAAAAAGGGCGGGAAAATCACATCACCGGCGAAAATCCCGGCGATCGGGGAAAATAAAAATTTCAGAGCTCGAATGTGAAGAAAAATAAAAAGGAGGATAAAAGAGGGTTTTGAGATGACCGGAATGAGGAAGAAGATGGGAGGCACCATCTCTTCTTAAAGGCCATTGGAATCTGACCGACATAACGCATTGTTGAAATCGAACCGTTAAATTTGGATCTGACGGTTCAGATCCGCTCGATGAAGCTGCCCGATCTAGCTGCCCGGGAAATCTGCCACGGATGGCTCAGATCGCGTAAAAAGCCACGTGGCGAGGTTTTAGCCGTTTGTTCATGAGGCGTCGTGTGTTTTCTTTTCTTTTAAAAAAATTTCCTATGAAGGTGGGAACTTTACAAAAATTGATGGGGTTTTTAAATGATTTCCATTTCTGTTTTTTGGTTTATGGAGAGAGGCAAACTAATGTCGCACCGCACAGTGACTTTTTATTTCTTTATTTTTGTTTTTGTTTTTACAGACTCTCTGATTGGTCCCTTTTTCTTTTGCCAGGTCAGCGATCGCCACGTGTAGACAGCTAGGATCTCGTTCATATATGAATACTCGTTACTTTTGAACCCTTTTTTGATTAACCCCATAAACTTGAAATATTCTAAGCTAAAAGCCTAAACTAAACATTACACTAGATTCATCATATCCACCATATCTCTATCTAATAGATATGTAGTCCAATTCGTAAAAAAATGAAGTAAAGTAATCAATTTCGACCAGAAAATTTGAAAAAAAGAAATATAATCAATTTTACATGACGGCACGCACGGTCACCGACTATATACAGCGAACGAATTTAGGGCAGCATCCATTCGTAAGAAAATGACGAAAACACCCTCCTTGTTATGAACCCAATCGCTAATGGGCTCTCCCTTTCAGATATCTGGGCTAGAACTGCAATAAGTTGGAAAATCGATATCTAATCAATTCGAGTTTTCGAAAGCAGTTATTGATTTTTTTCTCCATATGAATTGTTTTTTTTTTCTAAAAGGAAAAATGGGGAGCGGTTTATTACCAAGAAAAGCATAGTATGTGTGGAGCAGAACTTACCCAGAATATTGACTGTTCATGACCTCATCATTATCACAAACTTTAGGTAAACCGTTTTGATCATAATCTCCACAGGAAAAAAAAAAGGAAACAAAAATAAAAAATTATTTAGAAATTTCCAAAAAATCTAAAGAAACAATTAGCCAGGTTTCTCAGTAAGAGAGAAGAAAACTAGCATGAACAAGAGGAGATAACAAGGGGAGATAAGAGAAAAAGAGAGAAAAAGAGAGAAAAGAGAGAGAGAGTGTGTGCATTGTTTCTTGCAAGAGTAATAAAACACAATTATTGAGTGAATGAGTGCATTTTTGTCTATATACTTTTAATACCAAAGTGGGTCAAATCTGGACCGTTGGTTTCTGTTTTATATAAAACCTTTTCTTGAAGCCCATTTTGAGCTTTCTTTTTTAAATACCAATTTTAATTAAGCTTTGACTCTCTGTATTATTAGATTAGATACACGATTATTATGCAGTGGGCCAAATTCTTCTAACTAAAACTAAAACAATTTTTTTCCCTGTTTGATACTATTAATTTTCCATTTACTACAAATTTCCTTTTTATACACATGTTATAAAATATCCATTATACTAGTATTTCCGAATTTATTTATCACTTTTATAAAACAAAAATATAACGTCACAAAAAAATTGTAAGTACAACAAATCTTATAAAAAAAGACTCGCAGGATAAAGCCATAAAGTTCATATATCCGTATTAAATAAAAATGGATGTTAAGGGTAGCGTCTAAGCCCAACAACTGAAGTGGGGACCATTTTGCAGAAACTGTGGGAACCATGACAGCTAAGCATCCACTATCACATATTTTTATCGATGACCACGCGCTTTTATGAAACTGCGTGCTCTCACACTCTCATCTGATGTGGATTATTTATTTTCTTCTTCCACCTCATAAAAACATTAATTTTTTTAAAGGAAAATACTCGAACGTTTCATAAATTTCGAATTTCGTTGTGAATCGACGAACACTTTCCCATTACAACGAGTTTTTCTTACAAACAACGGCATTTTTTCATTTTCTTCATGGTAATTATTAGTTTACCAAATTAAACGGTAAGAGAGAAACACCATCCCTAAAAGCTTCCAAATTGTTAAGGAAACTAAACGCTAAGATACAGATCATCATAAAGTATAAACTAAAAACCATTAGACGCCGAGATTTTCATAAAAAATGTCTTTACCAATCAGAGAAAACAAAAAAGTAAATTCTGTTTTGGTCACTGAGAAATTGAATTTCTCTGAAAACTCATGAGGGAACTGTGTTGAACTTTAAAACCCAATTAGCGGATAAGATCCTTTGAGATAAACCAGCCAAATCAAATCATGAACAGGTTGGGTGGCTTTATTGTCACTTAACCGTTACATGATAGCTGGACAGGACTTCCAAGCCTTCCACGTCCGAAATAAACGGGTTACTAACTAATGGGTTTTTAGTGTGTAGCCCAATAACTTTACTTTTATAACTAACTCTTACAGGCCCAAAATATGGAAACAAATAGCTCCTCTCTCACACAGTCACGCTATAGAGATTAGAGAGTGTCTGTTTTTAATATATTTTAATGATGATTAATTAGCATACACGAGCAAACATAGGTGAGAGTATATTGAACCAAATAAAGTATTTGAGTTTTATTGAATTTCTAGATATTTTCTTCGACCGAGTGTATCCTTCCTATGACTATTAATCCTGATGAAACCCGTCAAGTTTTCACCCTCAAAGAAATAAATTAGAAATTTGGCTCTTGTGTTATTAAAATTTTATGTTCACAAAAAACCACGAGACTTAAATTTTTATATTTTAAACTAAAAACTCCACCAAAATACCTTAAATTCACTAAATATTTTATAAAATTTACTAACTTAACGTATTTATGATAACAATGTATTTGAATGTTTAATTTCAAATATTAGTTCAATAACATTAGAGTTTTACAATTTTCAAATCCATGTTTACACTCTATTCATTCCATTGACTTTAGGAATAAAATATTAATGTGCAAGCTGGCATTAGAGGTGAAAAATTAGAAGGTACGATTTAAATGTTAATTTGATTTGTCGAATAAAATGAATAGTTTTGGACATGTGAGTGTGAGATGAGATGTGACTTTGCTGATGATACGTACAAAACCTGAGGTGAAAAGCAAAATTAAACTAACGATATATCCAAGTATCCAACATTAGACATAATTAACTGAATCTGGCTCGTGTTCTCATAAAGCTCTCTTCCTATGTTGTAATAATTGAATGGCCCCACTGTTTTTCTTCTGTTCGTTCCATTGTTTTTAAGTCGTTCCATTGTTCCTTAGGAAATGTACAACAGGAATCGTGTCGAACTTGATTTTTTATGTCTCATATTTAAAATAGAAATTCAGAAGTTCTGACTCATTTTATTTCTCGAATACGCGATTCAACGTTATGATTAAGCAGATATAGAGACTGGATTTAGAGATCATGTTACTTCATTAATATTATGGTATAGCATATGTATAATACTATTTTATTCTATAAATGTTTCAAGCATTTAAAATCAGCCTAAAATTCAATTAAGTTCTTCGGCACCACACGTTCGACCGTCTAATATTACTTACTTGACAATTAAATTTCCTTGAATATTGATTTTCGATGATTAAAATTCTCTTTCGTAGTTCTTATCATATCCTAAGAAACAATACAAAATATAGGTTCCCAAAACTATGACAATCATGCGCTAGTTGTCTGGAGCTGCAAGTAACAACTTTTGATATTAAAAAACAACAATTGTATCTGTAGGTCGAAACCAAAAAAAAAAAAAAAAACATTCACTTCCTGACATGCCTTCATACATGTTAATATTTATCTGATAGATTTTTGTTGTTAAAGTATTTATTTATCTGACTGTTGAATAAATTTAGAGTTTGATCCAACATCTAGTTAAACCATCAACATTTAAATGCTAAGACATCTCTCTGTATAGCGTCCTAACTAAAACATTCAGCCGCAATTTGACATTCTTAAGTTTGGTGTATTATCTAGCTAAAATCGCAAATTCAAAATATACGGAAATGATCTTTTGCCCTTCTTTTCACGCAAAGTGCAAGATTGATAATTATACAATATTTTCCGAAAGATTCAGAAATAAAATGTAGTTGACACAAATATCATATATATCATGACATCAGTGATTCAGTAGAGAGGACACGAGATAAAACCGGGGGACCCTAGATCGTGTGTATGTGCGAGTCTATGCTAAAATCTAAAGTTATGATGCAACACTATGTTTTCTATTAAAAAAACGGTTTTTAAATAAAAGATATGTATATATGGACCAATTAAATGTCGCTAATTAAATGCCATAACACATTGCATGATTGGAAAAGCATGTTGCTGAATAAAAATGTAATGAGTATGACATGCTGACTATGCGCGAGCTCTTACTTTAACGTACACTTATATATGGAACGGAGAATATGACGTTGCCATTTAATTTCTCATTCATACGCAGTCTCTATATCTACTGTGTATATTAATGATTTTGGTCTCTTTCTTTTTTTATTTTTTTTAAACGGTTATGTAATTGATTGCATAAAATCCAGGTTTTAGTTGGGTGGGCAAAAATCCAATCTTGCTCCTGTACATTATGTCCCTTCTCCTCCCAATCATGCTTTTATAAAATCACATCCTATAAGACATTACACTCTCTTAGTCTTAGACCAATTCCGGTTTAAAACACAAGCAAGATAAAATAATGGCTCATTTTTTTTACATGACCAAAATTTTGGAGAACAAATTTAGCAAAGAGACATGTGAAAATGGCAGACTTTCTTAATCTTGCGCATAACAAAAAAAAACGTTTAGTCAATGAAATTACGTTGTTGCGCGATATATAACACTATATCACTGATATATTTTAGATTCTACGATGTTAATACTAGAATTTGAAAATGCTAAAATCCATATAAATTTAGACAAACAGATGCATTATATATTTTTTATTATAATTATCTAGTTTAACATATATTTTTTTTTGTATATATGATAACCAAACAAAATTTAAAGGTCATAGAAGCTCGGGTTAGTTTACCATATTAAATGTTTGCTACAGCCGATACAAAACGCAGTCGATGAAATCGAATCCTAACGTACGTATAAATTATCAACAGTTTAACCACCATGTTTAGTTTTGTATTCGTTGTTCACGATACTTAAATAAAATAGTTTTAGTTTATTCGTACTATTATCTTTTATTTACTATATTAATACTATTGACATCCTTTGAATTTCTAAAGTCGAGTATTAAATTATTTCATAGATTTTTTTGTATACAAATTAAAACTTTCTGCACATTTAAGAAACTCTCTACAAATTTCACAAATGGAAATTTTAAAAAATTATCCAACTCATAAAATCAGCCAACCTTAACTAATTCTAACTCCCAACAAACCCCTTCATAATGTTTTTGTTTTTTTTTTAAAAAAAAACCCTCCTTAGTATACTCAAATTCTCTACGATATTAAGTGTTTAAAATTTAGAGCTCATTAAATGGTGAATGGTATGAATCCCTTAGAGATATCTTTTAGGCTTTTAGCATACGTAAAAAGTGCATTCTTATACAACGTAATCTCCTATTTAGAATTCTTCAAAATTTTATTTTTGATATGTACGTATTATATAAACTGAGGTCTCAATTTTTCTAAATTCATTTGTACAATTGTACATGTTTGACATGAATTTTGCACATAACCTCAACGAATTTTAAGAGTGTCTTGGGACATCCTTCCATTACCGCATTTCTCGAATTTTGTTGTATTCTTCGTATATATATATATATATATATATCGCATTCGCCATTCGATCGATACTTTTGTTGATAAAATTTTTAATTTAAATCTGAAACTTCGGCGTCGACAAACGGGCCCCAGTGGGGGAAATATGTGTCTTTTTATAAGTTTATATAATATAATTAATAATAAGCAAATAAAATAAAGCGAGAAGCGGTTTTGATGAGAGAATATTCATAAACTATGGGCTGTCCACCGATTTCATGCAATGCAAACAAAATCTCCCTACGTACGAAAAAAAATATATTTAGTTTTGATAAAAACTATAGGTTCTCAACCAACTATATATTTTCTAGCTATAGATTCTCAATGACAAATAATTAGACAATTGCGTATCGATAAAATATTTTAATAATTTTTTGAAAAATACCTTTTCTCATACTATTTTTTAAAATATCATCTGTAAGCAGTTTTACAAAATGGTTT